GATGAGAGGCACTTTGAACATTTAAATTAGGTACAGGTCCCAGGGAATTTTTTTTTTTTTTTTTTTCGGAGCCCACAAAGGTTAGCACACTTTGCTTTGAAGGTAAAACATTTCGGACATTTTTTCTCTGCTGCCGTCAGTCTGTTGGGGTTCTGGAACATTCGCTTTTCTGTCATATTTGATTGATTTGGTCTATGGTGAAGTGTATGTCAGTCTTCTGTGGATTTCTCTCTTACAGTTTCCTATAAAATACTTATTTGAATAGATTTCAAAACGAAATAAATTATGGACCCTTTTCACATACTGAGATGACGTGTTTCCACCATTATTAACATCATAAAATCTAGTCAAGTTTTCACTAGATTTTATGATTTTACTAAATTTATTGTACATTTTTAACACTATACTTTGTGTTATATTACCTTGGCATTCGATTTCAGAGAATTAGTCAATGCTGCTGCATGAGTTTTGTTTTATTCAATGGCTGCTTGGGGAGTAAGATGCAAATTTGACATCTTTCCTCTCAAGGTAATCAATCTCTCCATATTTTTTTTTTTCTCTTTTGGAAAGGAAATGCTATCGGGGAGTTTTTATTCTGCTATATAAGAGCAAATGGGAATGCACAAATTATATTTGTCGTAGTTTCTACTCAACACTAAATAAGTTTACCCAACTATGACGAAGCCTGGAAATGTGAAAAAGGTTATTAATTTAAGTATTAAAGTGGCAATATGTAAGAATTTTCATTAATCGCTTTTTTATTGCCAATATGTGAACAAGCTCACAAGTAACAACCCCTAAAAACGTAGACGTTCCCACACTTCCTAGGCTGTCTCTGAAAGCCTGCATTTTTATGTGAAGGACTCAGGAGGTTTAAAACTACAAGAAAACAGCGTTTTGATCTTGAGAATTTGCCCTTGTAAGTGTAAAGGTCTTGTGAGTCATATTACATATCCGACAATTAGATGGGCCACATTAAACTGCTTTTCTTTTTAATTTATTTTTACACCGTCCAAATTAATATTGCATTGTCCGTTTTACATGATGATGATGAATTGATTTTGACATTTTAGAAGAAAAAGCGTGTGAGACTTTTCTTCTGATGGTTGCTAGGGTGTTCTAGGTGGTTGCTAGGGTGTTTTGAGTGATTCGCCTGCAGTTCTCTTGATATTCTTATTGCTCAGATCAGTGAAAGTCTGTGACGGTCATACCCACATTTATTGTCTATCAAGTGATGCTCGCCATATAAAGTGTTCACATGCACTGTATCATGGGCAGTGTAATGCAAGTAATATACAGTAAATTCATGGATGGGAGGTGTAATGGTTAATCCAGGCATATTGAAGGCTGGAATGGCTCTTTTGCTTTAGGTTGAGGGAGGTTTGCCTGATGTGTGATTATAGCTGTGCCTCAGTCTTTGGCCCGGTTCACTCGCCAAGGTCAGCATTCCTGGCCCGGCCGTTGCTTAGCTGAATCTGAGCTTGCTCTCAGTAGCCCTGCTAAATTAAAGACAGGCAGTCAGAAATTAAAGCCAAGCCCAGGAACCGGCAGTAGAGCCTAAATTCAATCTGGACGGTGCTAAATAAATGACCCTCCCGTTTGAAGTGAAAGGAAAAATGAAACCGCGTTATCTATTTGAGAAACTCTTTGGTTTATACAGTCCATTTTAAATCTTTAAGATGTCCATCTTGTTCTTAAAATAAGCCAGTGTTAAAAAACATTTGATTTGCAAGATTTGCATGTGCACTTATACTTTTTTTTTTTTTTTAGATGCATTCAGTCTCATGATGTCATCACTTTGTTATATGGACCATCTCAGTTACTAAAATAAAATGTGTTGAATTGTGGCCTGTTTTGGTCCAGTTTACTTTACATCACCCTGTGGCTGTTTTCTCCCTCTTAAATTGTTCTTTAAGATTTGAAAAGTGATGAATTATTGAATAATTTACTAAAATGCATTACTACAAATGCAAGGGAAAAGAAGTGGCAAAGGTCACATCATATCGATCTACTATTGGATAGGCTATATCAACTATTTTTCTCAGACCCAAATTAAGCAATCATTTCAATAACATTTTTACATTTGAATGTAAATGTTTTTGTATTTTGTTTTATGTATCTACTTTAGTTAGTGATCATCTGGCTGTTGCAACTCTGGTAAATGAAACGCCTTTTCTTTCTTTCCTCTCTTTTTCTTTGATTGACCGTTTGCAGTGGCGGTAAAAATCAAGGATTCGATGTTTAGACACAAATATAATAGTGTAATTTATAATAACATCAGTTTATATTCGTAATACTTGTTTAGAGAGATATTTTTGGTTGTATTTCCGAAGTCAGTATTAAACGCACCTGCACAAATCATCAGTGTGTTCTTTCTTCCGTCCAACATTTACTTCTGATCCTTTCGTTCAAAAATGTTAGGGTTAATAATAATAATTATTTTAATCACGTGTATTAGCGGTCAGATTTATTTTAAATGAGAGATCCAAGACAAATTTCCAATTCTCTGTTCTGATGTGAATCATTTCAAATGCGGTCAGGCTAAAATTAGATTTTTTTTTTTTCTCAAAATGATGACGCAATGTAATGGCAAATTGTAAGATTTCCCCTGCTTAAATATAATATTTTAATTCTACACAATCCAGAACTTACACTATTTTTCTCCTGTAGCCTAGTCTATGATGTCACACGGACCAAATGTTCTTCGTTAATTAATGAAATCATGAGCATAATAAAAACATAGGCATATATTTACACTGAGTGTTTTAATTTCGTTTAAATTGAATTAGTACACATTTGTTTTTTTTTGTTTTTTTTTTTTTTTTTTTTTTGCTGTTTGTCTGAGATGTGTTGTTGGACAGACTAAATCACCGAGCTGATATTTGTATGTCATATATTTAATTAATTAAGAATATATTGATACAATAAATTAAAAGAGCAATAATTGCTCATAATAGCTAAGGTGATTTGCTAGACTGTTAAATATGATATTATACTTATTAATGTTGATTTTAACTGATTAATATATGGGAATTAACAAATATATAATTAAGGCGCTATATAGGCTATATTTTATATATTGGTATTATTATTCATCTTTTTTTCATTTATTAAATTTATATTTCAGAATACTCTGAACTGTAAATACTGTCATCATTTTATTCAAATGATGTTTTAAATCTAAGGCTCAGAAAGCTCTGACGCTCATTTGTGTTTTTGACGGTGGTTTCATTTTTAACGCCTTAACGAATATTACTTACTAATAATTATTTAAGTGTTAGCACATTTTTCATTAAGCCAATAGAAAATGAATTATGGCATGTTTTCAGAAATGTTTAAAAACAGGTGAGAGCGTTTAGAAAGAAAGAAAACTACACTCTAAAAAATACTGGGTCAAATGGACAAACTCAGCCGTTGGGGTACATTTTTAAATTACATTTTAACCCAACGTTTGGGTTCGTCCAAGTTTGACCCAAAATTGGGTTAAAACAACCCAGCATTTTTTTTAGAGTGTCATTTTAAATTTCGTAGCTTAATCTGTAATAAAAAAAATGATTAAATAAAATATGCAGAATAACATGATTGGCTAAAGTTATGTTTGTTAGATATAGTTTTGCTCTTATGCTCTATAAAGCCTATAATATTTCAAACAAGGAACAAGATTTTTTTTCCTGCTCCCCTGATTTATTTTTTATTCTCTTCTCAACGTGAATTATTGAGGAAGATTTCCGTTTATTAATTCCTTTTTGTTTTGTTTCATCTTTATCTGTATTGTTTGTTTCTATCATAATCATAGATTACTGGCTTATTATGAGATACAAACGCATTTGTTTCATTATATGAAAATTACAATTAGCAAAAACATAAATAATCTCAGTGAGTCTATAAAATAATGAATGCTAAAAATACTTTGAAATGGATTTTGCTAAGATGTTTCATCTTTATATACACAGTGATATATAATTCAATTGTGTTTGTGTTTTTATTATTTTATTTATCATTTGTTTCTTTGACAAAAGGAAACTGAATTTGCTTGCTAATGTAGCCTTGGCAGGTGCATCGGGGCTTCACTGAAGGTCAACGCGTGTCTCCTTCAGGTCGTCTGGAGGTCTTTCTTCTGTTTTAGCCCAGGTATGTTGAATTAATTAAAGCAGCCACAATTAACCCTCAAATAAGATGACCTTTACGAGTTTTCCTTCATCTGACATCTGGCATGTATTATGAATTAATTCAACCTTAGACAACCAATGGGGCCCGACTATACCTTTATAAATTACCGTTGAACAATATAGTTTTTCTCCTCGTTATTTGAAGTCGGAATTAGAATCTGTTTTACATGTAATTTTCCTAATAACAAAATGAATTTGCCTTGTTCTTCGACATTTTTACACCCATGTAATATTTTTAAATGTGAGGTCGACAGCAACTCGTTTATTTGATTGCATGAAGATTTGCTGCACCAGAATTTGAAATATAGTGAACAGAAACTGCACACTACACCTGTTCACTTCTGCTAGACACTTTCATCATTGCAGAATTAGGGTTTACATTTTATTTTCGCACCACTGTATATACTTGATTTAATAACATAAAAATAATCAGATTTATGGCAACACACAGAGAAATATGAAAACCTTAATTCGTGCATTGCTCGAGACGTCACCGTTTAACAAAAACTCTGCACACTTCAAACACACACATCTCTCTCTCCCTGCCTCTCTCTCTCTTTCTCTCTCCGGTGAACGGTATAATCCCCTGCCGTTCCTGCTTCTCTCCAAGCCCGTATTTAATTCCCTTAAACCCCCAGCTGCCGTTCTGGTTCCTCTGTGAACACGACAGACTGTGAAGCGCTCCCGGTTATTAATAATTCACCAGCCACTGCACGAATCCGTCCACAGATCAACCCGACCGTTCCGCACGGGCCACGCACGGCTTGCGCGTTTATTTTGGCAACTACTCTCACTTAGGCTGCTTAACATAGGCTACATTAATTAGTTATTCGAAACGTTCGCGCGTTGTTCGTTTTGGCGACATAAAAGTCCACATTCCTCTCGCGCGTCGCGTGTGAATCCGCAATATTGCCCATAATGACGTCCTGTCCATAATAATTGATCGTGTAATCCATGCACTGAGGAGGAGGAGGAGGTCATGGAGATCGGGTCTCCAGTGAGATGGATGGAGACTGAGCACCAATTCACCCAGAGTCCGTGAGCTGAAACTGCGCAGGCTGAAAGTTGCTGTCGGTGGCGCACGGCGCGAGCTCGACTGAAGCCACCGGACCGGAGAGACGCGCTCAAACCGGGGGATTCGTACCAGAGGAGCGGTCGTGCTGAACCCGCTCCGGCCCCGAAGCTTTCACCTTTCTTTGTATCTGCTGAAAGACAGAAACGCGCCGGCTGATTCCTGCGAAAGTTTCTGTGCGTAAAAGTTGGCCGTTTTCCGCGATCCACGGGCCCGTCCCGCAACCCGGTTCTTCTGCTTCCGGTATCAACGGAGAAAGACGACTCATTTGCTTTTCGTCTTCTACCGCGCTCCCTTTTTTCAGGGCAAAGTTTTTTTTTCTTCCTAAAGGAGTAAAATGGGTCTTTGAGACTGTTGGCAATATTCCCCGCTCCACAATGGTACGTGCTGTGTAAATCAACTTTGCTCTTTTTATTTCTGCTGGTATAACATGCTGGTAAACACGGAGAGAAGGGTTTAGATTGATAATATGCCAAGCAATAACTGTCCCAGATTAATTTTGGGCGGTTTTAGTTTTAGCGCAAAAACTCTTGATGCACAACAACATGTGCAATAGTTCTCGGTCGCCTCGATGCACATAATGCCACTGTGTGTGTGTGTGTGTGTGTGTGTGTGTGTACTGTATAACGCTCTGTTATGGAAAATGCTTGAAGTTATTCATGTTGATTGGGAAGTTAGTTTGAAACTGTGCAGAATGTTTTCCTGCATCATTGCATTATTATGACATTTGCTGTGCAACTCATTTATTACACGATATGGGCATAATATATTAGTCTAAAGTGAATTGAAGAATGCATTATCACAACGCAATATCATAGTTTAACTTTGACCCTGTGGCACTCCAACTTTCCTCATCATGATGTTATGGATTCATCTCTTTATATGGCGGTGGATAATGAAGTGTTGTGTAGGATAATAAGCCTCCAGTTTACACGCTTTCCAGTGTTATTGGGATTACAGGCGACACATGCACATGTAACATGCCATTACTGAAATTGTTCCACTGCGCAAGCTTGTCACGGGACGACAGTCGCCGCCCACATGTCGTCTGTCAAAGAAGAACAAAAGCTCTGAGGGGTTAAATATAGAACAATAGTGCTGGATGCAACTTATTTCGTGTCCATGCTAACTTTTAGTGTTACTGTATATGCAAAGTCGTTGCATTGCATTTTGATTAGCACTGATTCCATGCATTGCAATTGTTTTTATTTTGCTTGCACATGTTGTCGTTTTATATGTAAACACACTAACTTTTAAATAAGAATAATTGTAGCAATAATAATTGGCAAAAGATTTATGTATTGACTAGGATGATAAATCCATATTTGGCCGATAACTGCACTCTTAGAAAAAGGGTTCAGAACCTTCATCAACATATATTAGATATTGTCTAATATTGCCTATATATATCATATTAGATATTGTCTAAAGACCCCTTTACTTCAAAAAGGTTCTATAAGGAGACATTTCTTAAATGATTGCATTATACTTTCATGTTTGGTTATTTAAATCTGTTTAGTGATAAAGTATGGTTACAAGCTTTGTGTTTAAAAAAATAATTAATTAAAAGAAAATCTATAAAATGATCCAATGGGAACCCAAATGTATATAGGCATATGAAGAGCCTGACATAAACCTTTAAATATTTATATAGTACCTTCTCTTTTAAGAGTATGTGTGTGTCCACTTGGCCGATTAGCAGAAGTCAGTTTGAAAATCTACAGCGCAGTCCATGCATTTAAAGCGCAATTTGTTTTTACAATTTTAGAAAAAAATGTGCATTGTCATGTCAGCTGCTATAATTAAATGATATAGTCTATATATGCACTAGTGTTGTCACGATACTGGACTTTCCAAGTTTGATACAAGTTGAAAATCAGGGAGGCTTTATTTGAATCGTAAACTACATTTACCAAAACAAATCAAAAAGACAGGTAAACAGCCAGTAATAAAATAAGAACAAATAAACAAATTGCGAACGATATAGCACAAATAAATACAATGGAATAAAGAGACAAATGACATAAACAGTGCTTTAAGTTTGTCAGGTGGGTCTAACAGTAATACTCAGGTAAGACATACTACAGAAATGAAAGTAATCAAATGTAAAATAACACTGGATATTTTTAATTGTAAAAATGTTATACAGAGTAATGCTTACCATTAAAGCAACAAAAGTTATTGAGTCAAGAGCAAGCGAGTGATTTCCTCAGAAAGCAGCAGGTTTATTAGGCTGCTGTCACTTTAAGAGTTAATGCACGGATCCAATATACTGTTACACAACATGCGCTTTCTCTCAACTATTACTTTACAAAACTGACAAGATGATAATAATTGACAAGATGGGTATTTTGACATAATTTTGAATGTATACCAGTTAAGCGCAATATAAAAGAAGTTAATTTGGAACTCGCGAGCTTTTTGAGAGCGGCACTTATCCACGGTGCGCGAAACCAGTGAGAATGACTAAAATGATGTGCAATACAAGCACTTTTCAACCGGAGCCAATGAGGCGAGTGAGTGAGAGGAGGCGGGTGTGTGTAAATTCGCCGTCGGTGAGAAGAGAGAGTGAGAACACGCAGCTGGTATCTGTGTATCGATACCGTTATCGAAAACACTATACTGTACGTGTGTATTGGCCATCCCACTCTCTAGAATCAGTATCGGCATACAGAAAATGCAAGAATACTGAATTAAAATATAATATAACAGCAAAAGCCATCGTGTAAATACAATCTTAAAAGTATTTGGAGACTTTTTGTGGCATGTCTTTTTAAATAATGCTGCAGGTCTACAAAATACACACGCAGCCATTTCTTTGAGTTTTTAGGTTTTTTATTTATAGGACAGACAGAGATGGCATTTGCATCCCTGACACGTGCAGCTCTTTCAAAACTAAAAACACAAGGAACTTGCAGTTAAATATCATATCGGCTGGATTTGCAGGTCTTCAGGAAAGAACATCTGTTCGGTGTTAGCTCAGCTCTAACCTCAGATAGCTCGGTTTTTACTTCTCACCAGACAGGCCACAAGAAGCCGATCTGAGGAGACATCAAGCTATTGGCAATCAACTAAAGCACATTACCCAGGTGTCCTCATTTCAGAGTCTAAACGTTCAGCTAATTTATGCATCGGCCTTCTTTATTTTCAACTCGCCGCACACATAGTTTTCAGTTCTCCTCCACTTTGACTGGCTTCGGAATCCGTATTATATTTGATTGCATGACTGATGCAATATAGGCTTGTACTTGTTGATGATTTTCAGATGGGCCTGAATATCAGCACATTAATGTGGATAATTATTTGTTTACCCGCTCTCTTAAATGGCACCAACCCAAATAGGCCAGTGCAGAAAGAAACGAGGGAATCTATTCAAAGCTGACTCCACATGGGATTAACGTCTTCTCTTAAAAAAAACTATTTAATTAAGCTTCCAAACAACAATCAAAGATATGACGCTAGATAGTTGACAGCTATTTGCATTGAAGCTATAGCAGGCCTCCGTCAAACAGCGACAGAAATGCATCTGGGTTATACTTTGATGACAGTTGGAATGAAGAAAAGTTCTACAATAGCAATCAAGGCATCCTATAGTTTGTTAAACAAAAAGGTTTTTATGTTGACTGCAAACTTGGAAGCAGAATACTGTACGTCTTTGACATCAAAATCCTTTATTTTGCAGTCAGTGTTTGATTTGTTTATTGAGAGAGTGGATGTATTGATGTTAGTATAGCAATTATAAGGTTCAATTGAAATTGAAATGTTTTGGAAATGAACACGCATGTGTGCCAAGTGTTACCGCCCCCTCTGGTGAAGTGGTGTTAGTTCACCTGTCAACTGGACTTGATCTTATGACCAATCAACATTATGACCAAGTCATTTGACACAGATGTCTCTGATTAATTGGCTGTTGGTTTTAGCTTTTTCTTCTATTGCAAGCCAATGATGTGATGGTAATGAAACGCTGGTTATCTGCATGTTGTCATGTCCATCAGTTTCATTGTCATAACTGCATAAATAGTCATAATGATTAGTAGCATATACACTCACCTAAAGGATTATGAACACCTGTTCAATTTCTCATTAATGCAATTATCTAATCAACCAATCACATGGCAGTTGCTTCAATGCATTTAGGGGTGTGGTCCTGGTCAAGACAATCTCCTGAACTCCAAACTGAATGTCAGAATGGGAAAGAAAGGTGATTTAAGCAATTTTGAGCGTGGCATGGTTGTTGGTGCCAGACGGGCCGGTCTGAGTATTTCACAATCTGCTCAGTTACTGGGATTTTCACGCACAACCATTTCTAGGGTTTACAAAGAATGGTGTGAAAAGGGAAAAACATCCAGTATGCGGCAGTCCTGTGGGCGAAAACGCCTTGTTGATGCTAGAGGTCAGAGGAGAATGGGCCGACTGATTCAAGCTGATAGAAGAGTAACTTTGACTGAAATAACCACTCGTTACAACCGAGGTATGCAACAAAGCATTTGTGAAGCCACAACACGCACAACCTTGAGGCGGATGGGCTACAACAGCAGAAGACCCCACCGGGTACCACTCATCTCCACTACAAATAGGAAAAAGAGGCTACAATTTGCAAGAGCTCACCAAAATTGGACAGTTGAAGACTGGAAAAATGTTGCCTGGTTTGATGAGTCTCGATTTCTGTTGAGACATTCAGATGGTAGAGTCAGAATTTGGCGTAAACAGAATGAGAACATGGATCCATCATCCAGTGTTACCACTGTGCAGGCTGGTGGTGGTGGTGTAATGGTGTGGGGGATGTTTTCTTGGCACACTTTAGGCCCCTTAGTGCCAATTGGGCATCGTTTAAATGCCACGGCCTACCTGAGCATTGTTTCTGACCATGTCCATCCCTTTATGGCCACCATGTACCCATCCTCTGATGGCTACTTCCAGCAGGATAATGCACCATGTCACAAAGCTCGAATCATTTCAAATTGGTTTCTTGAACATGACAATGAGTTCACTGTACTAAAATGGCCCCCACAGTCACCAGATCTCAACCCAATAGAGCATCTTTGGGATGTGGTGGAACGGGAGCTTCATGCCCTGGATGTGCATCCCACAAATCTCCATCAACTCCAAGATGCGATCCTATCAATATGGGCCAACATTTCTAAAGAATGCTTTCATCACCTTGTTGAATCAATGCCACGTAGAATTAAGGCAGTTCTGAAGGCAAAAGGGGGTCAAACACAGTATTAGTATGGTGTTCCTAATAATCCTTTAGGTGAGTGTCTATAGCCCTACATTAGTCTGACATCAAATAGCATTTTTAAAAAGTCTATACCTGCACAATGCTAATGGTTCCAAATCATCTTAATGCAGTTGCTTAAGTACAATAGGCCTATATAAA